GGGCACCAAGGTGTCCGGGTTTTCAGTTCTCACTGGAAAGGGTTTTTTTATTATCTGGGCAGTAGGTGGACTCCTGGATCAAGGGAGAAAATAAAGAGCCTTACTGGGGAGCTGGCGAAGTCTAAAGCCTGAATCATCTGGTGTCAACGCTGAAGTCCTGGGTTGACGCTTGGACTGTGATGGGATAAGAACGAGCCCCTTGCCCTGGAGGTACCTCCAACTCATGGGGACTCCATGTGTCAGAGAACTGCAGTCCATAGAGTTATCAATGGCTGATTCTCATTGGATCAATGAGATTGAATCAATGGCTGGCAGACTGCCAGGCCTTTTCTTCTGTGGTACCTTGGGATGGGCAGGTGCGCCAGCCTTTTGGTCGGTAGCGGAGCACCATTAACTCGCCCCGGCCAGGGACGTGGTCCGGGAAGAGAATGTCACGCTGAACCACTAAGGGGTGGAGGGCGGCGTCTGGGGTGATTTCAGAGAAACGTGTTTCCACAGCGATAAAGCCAGAAGGTAAACACTCCACGAATCTGAGGCAGGGGTTCTCGGTGCTTTGCAATTTTTCTGGAAGTTTGAGGTTGTCAGAATAAAGTGACCAAACTTTTTAAAAACCCACCTTCATTCCAGCCCAGCCTCCAAGTTCTGGCCCAGTGGGTGCTGGGAATGGCCCGGGCCTCAAGATTCTTGAACTCTCCCCAGGTGCCTCTGACCGCAGCCAGTGCCCAGGGGAACCCGGGATGGCAGGTGGCTCCTTGCGCAATCTCCGCCCCACCCCCAGTGCTGGCCCGAATGGACTCGGGGAGTTCAGCCGTTCCCCAGCTGAGGGAAGCCAAGGCTTCGGCTGGTGTTACCTAGGCATAGCTGTTGATGGCAGTGACCTGGGCCGTCCCAGCCCTGTGGGTTCAAGTGGGGAGCAGCAGAACTGAACTCAAGCAGTTTGGCTCCAAGTCTGCGCTTTAACCCAGGGGTCAGGCGGGGCAGCATCCCCGTCATGGCGACCAGGTCTCCCCAGCGCATCTCACCCCATCATCAGGCCCAGTTCACTCGGCTCTGACTACATGGCTTTCGTTTTTGCAATCTGCCACCACCCAGGACCATTTATCCAGACACAACAGCCCCCCACCCCCACCCCCCATCAGAGTGCAGGCCGGGGGCTTTGGGAGAGCTGGTGGAGGGGGTGTCTCCCCCAACCCCCAGGTGCCCTTTGGTTCCAGGACAGGAAGACTATGACCGGCTGCGACCCCTGTCCTACCAGAACACCCACCTCGTGCTCATCTGCTATGATGTCATGAACCCCACCAGCTACGACAACGTCCTCATCAAGGTGAGGCCCACCTTCCGGGGCGGGGGCTGACCTCAGCCCCCGCCCTCAGCCCTGATGCCCCACCCTCTCCATCACAGTGGTTCCCCGAGGTGACGCACTTCTGCCCACGGACCCCCATGGTGCTCATCGGCTGCAAGACAGACCTGAGGAAGGACAAGGAACAGCTGCGGAAACTGCGGGCCGCACAGCTGGAGCCCATCACCTACACACAGGTGGGTGGGCCAGACCCTGCAGCACCCCCCACACCACACCCCTGCTCCTCCAGCAGCGGGCACAGCCACAGTCAAAAAGGCTCACCGGCCTCCAGCCTCTACCACTGGGGCCTTAGGGACCTGGAGCAAACAGGATTCTAAGAACTTAAAATGACTAAGAATGTTGATAACCTGCTGGACTGAACCCTTCAAGTGGCTTCCTTCATTTGTAACTCCAAAGCGGGTACTATTAGCCCCACCCTCACCCGGCATTGCGCAGGGGAGAAATGGAGGCCCAGAGAGGTTCAGCAGCTTGCCCAGGGACACACAGCTCCTCTGTGTGGCAGCATGCAGCCCAGGCCCCCGACCCTACAACCACCACCCTGTCCTGACTGTCCAAGGGACTAGAGTGGCGGGTCGGGCTTCAAAATTAGAAATATGCTCACAGCAGCTCCAAACTCTGTGACTTTTTGGTCGAGGCATGGGAGAACCGATAGAATATTTCCTCATAAATATGTGTATATAAAGGAAAATTAAGCAAATTTCATGAAAAGGACTACACGTGAATAAAGATAAGTGCATTTTTTAAAGTTTTTTCATTCTGCTACCAAGCTCAGATGCCTTCATTGTACTTTGAGAAGACAGAGGATCTAGGGAAGCCCTTTCTGTCTTGAAGCTTTCAGTCTTCTCATAGGCCCAGATGGGACAGCGCACCCCGCTTCTGAGTATTCAGCCTGAAGCTGGAGAGTGGTGGGTGGAGGCCAGGATGCCCTTCTCCCAACAGCCCCAGCCCCCAGCCCAGCCCCCACCACACACCCTCCCTACGCATCCTCACACATTGGGGAGGCCCTGGCCAAGCCCCCAAAGCCAGCCCTGCACAGGGTTTGCTCAGGAGGCCCCCAGGACCTCCTGCTCCAGACCTGGCTAATGCTGGTGCCTCCTACCTAGGGCCAGAGCGCCTGCGAGCAGATCCGCGCCGTGCTCTACCTGGAGTGTTCCGCCAAGTTCCGGGAGAACGTGGAGGACGTCTTCCGAGAGGCCGCCAAGGTTGCCCTCAGTGCTCTGAAGAAAGCCCAGCGACAGAAACAGCGCCGGCTCTGCCAGCTGCTCTGACCCAGGACCCTGGCGCCAGGCCGCAGGGCCCTTCGAGGCTGGACGGACAGGGCCCAGGCGCTCAGGCCCACACCACTTGGAGACTCTTTACTGCGCTCCTATCGCAGGGTACTCGGAGTTGGGCGTCTCCAGCACCTGGTGTCTGGGGCCTGTGGCTGAACTGGATCATTCTGGAACTTTTTCCTTTCCCATTTGGGGCTTCTGACCACGAACTTGCCTCTAAGCTCACCCTGAAGCCGTGGCGCCGTGGTGAACAAGGGTGTTGGGTTCACCACCTCTGTGCCTGGGAGCCACGTTCTGCAGGCCTGGGCCGACCATTTGTCCCCAGGACTCAAGAGTGCTCTAATCATGGCTTCCACCAGCCATGCTCTTTCCCCTCTTTGCACACCCAGTTTATGCTTGAAATTAAAACTATGTCTGGTACACGGGAGAACGTGACAGGGTTCCCCTGGGCTCCGGAGATAGGCACAGCTGTATCCTCCGTGGCTTCCTTCCTTCCCCCAGGAATTCGGGGGCCCTGGTGGGGCCATGGAATGGGGCCTATCGGGAGAACACAGGCCACAGCCCCGGATGTGGGGCCAGTACCACTTCCGCCTTCCCCTCTTCCTGACCCATTATGGCAGACCCGGCCTTCAACTCAGCCACCATTTCAGACCTGGACACATGGACTCAAAGGAGAGAGAAAACCATCCTTCCAATGGCAAAAAAATATACCCTTTGACCCCAACCTGACCCCTGCTCCAGGAGTCCTTACCACCAACCCCCACTGTCAGAAAACCGAGGTGTGAAACGTGCCATCCGTCTCTACTGACACAGGTCATCCTCAGTGCAGTGGATTGTAGTTGACAGAACGGGGCTGTCCTTTGGCCCTCAGCCTCCTTGTGCCACAGTGTGGGGTGAAGCCACCCTGGCCACCTGCAGAAATGGACAAGGTCCACCCTCCCTGACCAGGAATACTACCTATGATGTGACCATGGCTCCTCCACATTGCACCTGCCCCCCTTGCCCAGTGCTGCGTCCCCCACTAAGCTGGACCTTCTCTGAAACCAGGCTGCCAGGCAAGGAGACTTATGAAATGTGGCCACCTCACCCCCAACCTAAGTTCCTAAGGCTCTGCCACGCTCGGGGGAGTCAACAGACGAGTCGGACCAAGGACTTCTTATTCTAGCAGAACCCAAAGTCTTGTGTGCACATGATGGTCTAGGGCAGGGGTCAGCAAACTACGACCTGTGGGGCAAATGTGGCTACTGCCAGTTCTTGTGAATAAAGTTTTATTGGGACATAGCCACGCCCATACATTTCTGTATTGTCGGGCTGCCCTCACTCAATAATTGCATAGTTGCAACAGAGACCGTATGGCTTGCAAAGCCTAAAATATTTAGTGCGTGGCCCTTTTCAGAAAGCTTGCTGACTTCCAGTCTAAGGCAAACCCAGGTTCCCAAAGGGACAGATGGCAAGGCCCAAACAGTACAGGAGCAGCATAAAAGGCAGCGGCAGGGCCTGCGGCGAACTGGGAAGGCTGGCCTGACCCTGGCCAAACGCGTCCTGCACGAGTGCCGCTACAGCTTTACATTTTTCCAGTGAGGTTTTTTTTTTTGAGGGGGGGGGGAGTAGAAATTGGGTTTTTATGCAGAATCTCACCAAGTGAGAGGGTTAAGAGGAGGGAGGAGCTCTTACTTTAAAAATGTAACTAAAACAATTTTTTAAAATCCAGTTGAGGCAAACAAAGCGAAGCTGTGGATATCAGCTGTGAACTCAGATGTGTGTGGATTTCTAGGGAAATGTGTAAGGGTTGCCAAGGCCTAGGAGATGCAACGGAACATTCAGCTGACCCTATCAGCGTCTCCACCCTCACCATCCATAGAGAATCTAACGGCAGGTCACCAGACCTTCCCTGGCCTCAGAGTATGGCCTCTTGAGGGTGGGCCCTGCTCATGACCCCAAAACTCTGGAACATTCTGGAGGGAAGTGGAGGACAGATGACCTCCATGATGGCTTAAATCCATCAGGCTGAGTACTGGTCCCGGTCCCTGAGTACTTGCTCCAAGCGTTTGAGGAGGTGGGGTGAGGGTCGGGAAACCCAAGCGTCAGAACCCTCAGTCACTCCAAGCCAGCAGCAGAGCACTCTCTGGTGGTGGCCCTCAGTAGGAAACTCATCGCGTGGGTACGAGAAACCAAGCCCTCCAGACCTCAGGAGGCAGGCCCCCTTTCTCTGCTAACAGCAGGGAGACTGAGGGAGCAAAAAGAGCAAGAGGCAAGACAGTGGTTGTCAGAACTTAAATACCCCCCACTCCCGCAGCGGGAGCTTACAGCAGAAGCGGCACGGCCCCAGCTGGGGTGTTCCACAGGATGCCCGGGGCTTCATTCACCCCCCAGCCTGGGACTCAGTAAGTAGCAGGTCAGCTTACGTACATCCCCAGAGAGGCACATCCAACCCCAACCTGGGGCTCAAACCATGGGTGGGAGGACAGAGGAGCTCCCTGAGGCTTGAGGCCCCCCCAGGAAGACTGGCTTCGTCTCGGCCGCCCCGTGGGGAAGGCCTTGGGTTCTAGGGGAGTGGGGGGGCCTGACATTAAATACGGTTATAAATAGGAAGGCTGTGGAGGCTAATACTGCGTGGACAGGCTGGGTTCACATTCCTCGCGTTTGGCCGGGGACCTGCTCCCCGAAATGCACCAGGCCCTGAGGTCACTGCAGCCCGTGGTCACGGCCACTGCCTGGGAGGAGACGGCAGCAGGGGTGCTGACCAGAGTTCCCCCACAGTCCTAAAGTCGAGGGTCCCGAGGGGCGTGAGGGTCTCGTGGCTCACGGCTTCTTCATCTTGTCTCTGTTCTTCTGGAGTTTGGCGTGCACGACTTTGAGCGTGGTGAGGAAGTTACCCAGGAAGAGGACAAGGAACGTGAGTGCCAAGACAAACACCTGGGGGGGTGGGAGAGAAGAGGGGCCGAACCAGTGAGGCATTCACGCTCTGGCCGGCCCCCTGCCCCGAGCAACAGAACCCCCTCAGCAGACCCTCCTGTGGCCCCCAAGGATCTTCCAGCAACATGGAGACACCTGGGCAAACCAGGGGAAGGGGTGGGCGCTCAGGGTCAGGCCTGGACGGCCTGGCATCCTCAGTCACCAAGAGGCCAGGCCACAGCCCCTCCCCAAGCCCCCCAAATGGGCATGCCGTGAGGTGAACCCCTGTCAGACTGCAAACCACTGGCCCCAGTGGCAGGACCCCTGGCCTCCCACCGCATCGCCCAGGCCCCAGCTGTAGGGAGCTCTGAGCAAGCAGGCGTCACGTGAGGGGCAGAAAAGGGGACAGTCAGGAAGCCTTCCCCAGGACAGGCCTCCCGCCCCCACCCTCCTTCCCCAGGACAGCCCTCCCCCGGGCCCAGGCTCCCCATACCTGCCATTCTTGGCATTCCTCGTGGCTGGAGAGCTCAAACAGTGTGATGGCATTGTAGAGCTGCCAGAACTGGGGAGAGGGCAGAACCAGGCTGCTGCTGCCACTGCTCTCAGGAGCCCCGAGGAGCGCGCCCAGGAGCACGAGCCGGTCCCCACCCCACCCGAGCTCCTCAGGCAGGTGGCCCGAGACACTGACATGCACCCACAGTGAACCCGGAGTGTCTGGGCCCAGGCAGGTAGGAGGGCAGAGGCCGCCCTGTCCTTGGTATTCTCCGGCGTCCTATACCTGGGACCTGGGCCCGTGGGCTCAGCTTGGGGGAAGGCTGGTGAATGGGGGAGGCCTGAAAGCTTTCTGTCACCAGGGACCGTGGCCATGGGACACCTACAAATTCCAGGGGGACTCACGTGGCCACAGAAGAGGAAAGGCAGGAGGAAGGTGAGACCCCGCCACATCCAGGACTGGAATCCTTCTGAGGAGAGAAGAGTGGAGGAGAGGCCATGTGAGGGACTGAGTCGTCCCAGTACCCACCAGGCAACCCAGCCGCTCTAAGATCATCCAGGTGAGGGGCAGACACCCTCAGTAGGAGCAAGCTGCATCTGTCACAGACAGAAGTGACCAAGAGAGTGTGCAAAAGCACCTCTCCCGGGGCCTGACGGAACGAGCGGGCTTGCTCTCATGCACCCAGCAGTTAGGCGCAGCTACTGCGTTTTGAATTTGGACAGGATTCAAAATGACCACCTCCAAAGCCAGCAAAACCATTTTCATGGAACGTTTAGACAAGATCACCACACTCTCCTGAGTGGGCACCTGCGTCAGCTCAGAAGACCCACACACAGCTGAATGACACGTCTTACGCGTAAATGCCGTACACAGCAGGAGGGTACCACTGTGGGTAGCTGCTGGAGGGCAAGGCTGAGGCCCAGCACTGAGGACTGGCCACTGGCCATGATGACTTAAGGGATGGTGGCCTGCTCAGCGTCGGGGGAGGTCTGGCTATGCTCCCACCAGGCCAAGAGCCCAGAGCGGAGGTGGGGCTGAGCCTAGGGAGCTGGGAGGGTCCGGCGCCGCGGCCCTGCTACTCACCCACTGTGAGGTCCAGGTGATTCCGCTCCCCTAGGGCCCGCAGCCGGTACAGGCAGCCTCTCTGGTAATAGTATTGTAGGAACTGGACACAGCCTGCAGGGGGAGCCCAACACCAGCACTCAGACCTGGACATCCCAGGGGGCCGGGGCAACCTTTCTCCAGAAACCTTCTCAAACCTCTCTCCAGGGTAGAACACTCTCTCACCCACAACACACACACACACACACACACACACACAAACACTCTTATATGTGAACCTGAGTTACCCCTTAACTGAACACACTGACAGCTCAGGTACCTAAGGACCCCAACTAGACCAGAAACTTCTGGAGCTTTCGTAGGTATGCAGTAGGTGCTGAATCAGTGTCTGCTGGAATTCCTGGTGTCCCCACACAGTGCCCAGCACCACGCTGGGCGCTGTGAGCCATGTGTGTGCCATGCCAAGGCACGCAAGAGAGCGTGTCATACAATGGGACACTCCGTAGTTGAGGGGGTGGAAAGATTCCCATGATAAATTGTTAAAAGAACACCCAGTGACAAACAAAGCTGTGTGTGCAGAAGGGTCCCATGTGCGACAAACACACAAATGTACAATGAAAGCAGGAGACCACCAAGGGGAGGCCGGCTGCAGGTCCCAAGTTATTGTGAGTTGACCTCCAGCCGATTCCGAGTCACAGCCACCCCGGTGTGCACAGTGGAACACTGTGGGGTTTTCAAAACCGCTGTGGGGTTTTCAAAGCTGGGAACTTTCAGAAGCAATCAGCGGCCTATCTCCTCAGGCACCTCTGGGCAGACCCGAACCGCCAACCTTTCGGCTAGTTGTTGAGTGTTCACCACCCAGGGACATAATTCAGTCTACGCATATGTGTGTGAGCCTTCACGATAAACATGTCCCACTGGACACGGCTCAGTGAGCAGCGAGCATCCCCAGGGCGGGGTCGTACATAACTGCCGCCCTCCACCATTACCCCTTCGTGTCTGTTGGCAAGCAGATCTTTATTTTAAAATTACGTTGTATTTCTGAATAGGCGATATGCACGTGGGATAAAATTTAAAAGTAACAGAAAAGTAGAGAGTTAATCTCTCTTCTGTCCCTGTCCCCGTGTCCCTCGCCCTCTAAGCTGTCCACAAAGGCAGCCCTGGAACCAGGTTTTTGTAAGCAAATCAGAGAGAGCTCTTCTCGGACAGAAGCGTGACAGGCACTTCCATTAAAGTTGGAACATAAGGCTGACGCCCTGACGCCATGTGGTTCCTGAAGGTCTGAGTGGGCAGGTTCAGACCTGGGGCTCTGGAGAGGGGTAGATGGATTGACCTCAGACCCCACCCCACGCCAGCAGCAAACTGGCCAGGGCCCTTCCCCAGGGGGCACACTGCCATCACTGGGGACATCCCCACCCCTCCCTCCTGGAGGGCCTTCATCAGTGAAAGTTGCTGGAAACCGTGTCCCCTCCCCCAAATCTGAACAGGAGACACTCACTCTGAAAGATGGAAAATGCTAAGAACTGATTGCGAAACTTCTGGTAAATGAGTCCGTTGGGCCTGGAGAGAAGGTGGGAGAAGACTAGGTGAGGCCAGCTGTGGGCTGGAGGTCAGCCATCAGCCCGCCCCCATCTCCACTCCGCTCGACAGAAGCCAAGGTTTCAAAGTTAAACTGAGGTTCCTGAGCTCTGCCTTTTTAAAAGTTACTTGGTTGTTGGGAATACACAGAGCCAATGCAAGAGCTCTGCTTTCTTCATTACCAAGCGCCCCAGGCCAGATCGGGTTCCGTCACTGCTCCAGGTCCTTTCCAGGGCCGAGGCAGCCCCCCCTGTCACTGGGAGGCCAAGTTCCCTCCCTGCCCGGCTCCTGCAGGCCCCGGAGCCCAGACCTGGGCTCCCTCCCACTGGTCCTGCTTCTCGCTCCCGCTGCTAACCTTCCAGTCACTTCTGCCCTGGCCCCTTGGCAGCCATCCAGGGCCCTGCAGACAGCCTCTGGCCCAGCTGGGAACCCACTTTCCTTCCAGGCCAGAGCCCCGGAGGGCCCCACTGTGAACCCCTCCCCACCCCTAAGAGGTGAGGAGGCTCCTGGGCCTGGCAAGGAGCCACTCACCAAGTCAGCATCACTCCGGACAGGAACGTGGACACATAGTGGTGGGACACCCACCAGCCTTTGATCCTGGGAAAGGAGAGAGAGGTCAGGGGAGAAAGGCAGGAGGCGTGGTGCGGCGACCGCTGGGCAGCGACTGGGAAGCAGCTTCTTGGAGCAGGAAGTGGGCCCAGCCATTGCCCTGCCTGGCTCGCCATCCTGGGGACAGGCAGTTAAGGTGCTCAGCTGCGAAGCCATGGGCTGGGGCTTCAAGTCCACCGAGAGGTGCCTCGAAGAAAAGCCTGGCCGTGTCCTTCGAAAAAATCAGCCAGACACCTCTATGACGGAACAAAATGGGTATGAACTGCCATACAGGAAATGAATTTGCCCTGGAAACTTTCACCCAATCACAATAAAAAAGAAAGAACAAAACAAAGGCGTGTGGAGCAGAGTTCTGCTCTCGCACACATGGGACCACCGTGCACTGGAACCAACTCGATGGAACTGGTTAAATGACAGTCACACACAGTCGGAGACCCACAGACACTCACGCCACCACTGGCTTCCCGCCACGCTCCTAACATGTCCCTGACTCCTCTCCCTGACCCCTGGCCTCTACCTCTCTCCCTCTCTCTCCCCCTCTTCCCCCCCCCACACACCTCTCTCCCTCTCTCTCTCTCACACACACACACCTCTCTCCCTTTCTCTCTCTCTCACACACACCTCTCTCCCTCTCTCTCACACGCACACACACACACACCCCTCTCCCTCCCTCTCTCACACACACAC